AATTACTATGACGGCTAACTTTTATCATTTTAATGCAGGATTGTGGTTTGCTGATTCAGCCAGAGGAAACCTGTGGGTTACAGCCTATTTCCTCTGACTACATTGAAGCCATTTCACAGCCCGAACTAAAGACTTGTCCATCTGGGGATACAAAAGGTAACTATTACACTGGATATCATTTCTTTTTTAAAAAAAAAATCTCTTAATATACATAAATAGTAGATGATTACTTAATCTTGTCTTCTAAAAAAAATCAACCACACATATAATTAATGAAAATGCATTGTTTATGTGAAATATCTTGATTAATCAAATGCTTTTCTTTTCACCTTCTGCTCTGTCCTTAGTTTAATGCATATTCACCATAGATCTCAGTCAAAAAGTCATAGCATAGAGCCTTCCCTTGAGCCTCTGACTTGTTTTCCTTACTATGTATTTTCATAGCACCCAGCGTTTTTCTTCCTTTGCAGCTTCCACAATTATTTAAATGATTGTTGCTCATTGTTGTTCAATGCTAAGTCGTGTCTGACTCTGCAACCCCGTTAAATGATTAAGTGTGTAACTGACTTTGATGTCAGTGTTCCCAGGCTGTAAGCTGGATGGGGACAGGGGGTCTGAGTTATTCACATGCTACCAATTCACTTACCATTATAATTTCTACAGAGTATGTGCAAAATAAGTTGACCTTGTGAACCCAAAGAACTGCAAAGGATAGAGGTTCAGTTTTATATCATTTCTTCAAGTTAAAAAAAAAAATCTTTGGGAGTAGTCACTATTGTCTCCCATACATTGAACATGAATAAAGGCAGGGAAATTGGAATGTCGAATTCAAATTACATGTCCTGGCTATTGTAAACAGTGCTACAGTGAACACTGGGATACAGGAAAGCACCCTAAATGTCCATCAACAGATATAATGGAATATTACTTAGCTATAAAAAGAAACAAAATTGGGTCATTCATAGTGATGTGGATGGACCGAGACTCTATCATATAGAGTGAAGTAAATCAGAAAGAGAAAAACAAATATCATATATGTATGGAACATAGAAAGATGGTACATATGAACCTATTTGCAGGGCAAGAATAGAGACATAGATGTAGAGGGTGGGCGTGTGGACACAGAGGGGAAGGGGAGAGACTTTTTGCAAGAGTAGCAGGGGCGTATACACACTACCATGTGTAAAATGGATAGCTAGCGGGAAGTTGCTATATCACACAGGGAGCTCAGCTCGGAGCTCTGTGATGACCTAGAGAGGCAGGATGAATGGGGTGAGAGGGATGGCCAAGAGGGAGGGGATGTATGTGTACATATAGCTGATTGACTTCATTGTACAGCAGAAATTAACACAACATTGTAAAGCAATCATACTCCAACAAAAAAGTAAATAAATAGAAAGGTCCACTTCTAAACAATTCAAATTGCAATATTCAATTCTGCCTAAACAGAGGGCAGATCTGGAATGAGACACTTTGGAGGCACTGTCCACTTCTCCTGTTTCTTTCCTTCCCCAGCATTCTTCTTTCAGGTTAAGCCAAAGCTGGGACTAAAAATACCTCCAAGGCAGTAAGAGGAGCAAAGGGCCTCTCCTCTGCGCTTCCTGGTTACCGCTCTGGCCTCCAGACCCCAGGTCTCCTTTCATCTAAAAAGTCTGAGAAAACACTCAGAAACTTTTCTACCCTTGCCGTGAACTTCACACTGCAGCCTGAATGGGAAAAGAGTTTCACAAATGGGTGGGACAAATTGCAATTTGGCATGCATGGCTAACAAACGTGGGCATTTCCCAGCTCTGGAACATGTGTCCTAAATAATAAATTACGGACAGTGCGTAGAGAGGGATTCACCCATTATGGTGTGTCAGGTGGTATGATATATGATTCTCGGCTAAATGAGATATATACTCTTGTATACAAAGGAGACATCCATGTGTCTAGGTATTTTCTTTTAATCACATGACAATTTATGAGAACCATAAAACAACTTAATTCAATTCCTCCTACTGAACCAAGTCAAAAGTTCTTCAATAAAAAGTTGAAGGTACATTACTGAGATTCCTCAAGAAGTGGCAATTTCTTCTGTCTGTTAAATTTATAGTAACTTTTGCCAGGCCCCGTACTGAGGCTGTCTCTGTACCTGGTCCTTACAACAGAGGCTGCCATAAAACAGGAGCCATCTGGGAACTTGAGTAGTTAGGCTTCTTTGAAAAAAACAAATATTGACTCCTCAATCAAGCCCATATTCCTCAACCTGACAATAATCTGACCCATCCTATCTCTCCTAACTCCTCCCAGATTCTGGACCTCGTTTCATACTGATAATCGGCTGTAGGACTCCAGCTCTTGTCCATGCTGATCCCTGCTCCTAAAAGTCTTCTTCCCATCTTGATCCCAGTCCTCCTGATGCCATATCCTCTTCTCCAGGAAGTCTTTCTGCACCACCTCACCCCCATATTTGCTTCCCTTTTATGTGGCTCGGATGGTAAAGAATCTCTGTAGTGAGGGAGACCCGGGCTCGATCCCTGATTCAGGAAGATGCACTGGAGAAGGGAATGGTTACCCACTCTTGTATTCTTGCCTGGAGAATTCCATGGACAGAGGAGTCTGGTGGGCTACAGTCCATGCGGTTACAAAGAGTTGGACAGGACTGAGTGACTAACACTTTCACATGCACCCAGAATATCCTAGGCACATGTCTTCAAATAGCACTTACCTCATAATATTTCAGGTGTCTGATTCAATGTTCCTCTCTCTAATCAGTAGTCTTCAAAGGGGAATAATATAGCCGAGCAAGGGGAGAGAGGTACAAAACAGCACAGGGAAGAAGCCAGTAAAGATAAAAATATATGTACCTTTATTTTTATATAATTATCCTTATTTTATTTTATGATGGAAATAATATATATATATGAGTATATGTACATGTAGCACAGGGTAGGTGTATTAACATGTCAAAGGTGCATCAGCCATAAGTTTGTCCTGAAGGTTGCATGAGATTTCAAGTGTGTATAGAGCAAAGATTGTACCTTATTCATCTTTCAGTGTCTAATATATGATTTAAAAACTGTTGCTGAACTAAAACCAAGATTCAAGCCCTCCTCTCTTTCACAGAAGACTGTGAAATCAACCAAGGTAACCCCTCTACCCTTGAGGTGCTAGAGACCTAAAGATTCAATGTAAATGAGTGAGTTCAGAGATAAGTTTGCAAGGATGGATTTTTTTTTTTCTTTTTCTCTCTTTTACTCCTGGAGATGATTTAATGGTAGGACTCCCCTCTGTTGAAAGAAATTGTCACACTAGATGACACTGAAGGATGTTTATTTTGGGTGCTCTAGATTTAGCTTATAAGGTTATAGAAGGGTCCCCAAACCTTATTTTCACAGCACATTTCAGTTATCTGCCAGAACTGGATCCATTTTTTTTCTCCTTGAAAAATGTTCTTTCAATAACACCAGCTAATATAATTTTGAGTGGTTTTTTTTTTGTTAAGTTGAATTTTGAAAATAATTTAACTATAACATACAACCTAACAATAAAATATTTTTCCCAGGAAAGAAAAAATAATTCTTCTAACTTATAGACAGAAGTTTATATGATCACTGAACGAGAATTACCTTTAAAGAAAATGGTTTAGATTACATTTTATAATATATGAACAAAAACTTTTTCTTATCTTTTTGGAGGGAAATATACCAACTTATACTTTAATAATTCTAATAATATTGAAAATATAGATTTTTTTTCTTCTTAATTAAAAACTGCCTTGTTTTATAGCATTATAGAGTCAGGAATTAGTGCTGTTGTTTATATGTTGTTTATATTTTACATCTCACTAAATCACAAAGTTTAACTTCTTTTCTCTGTTATATTACCCAATTCAATACACATAAATGGCTGAAATCTAACTTGCATTAAATATAAAGCTATAATGATAAATTAAATAACTTCTCCCCAAAGGTAGTTTCATTCTTCAGAATGTTATTCCCTATGACACATGTCATATTTTATTTCAGAAATCACAGCTTTGATTCATTCATTGTTTAAATATATAGCATAGAATGTATGCCCTCTTTTTTGACAATTTTTGGTGAGCTGGAATCATTTAAAATGTCAAGAAAGCCCAGTCCTGCAGATGTTATACAGATGTGTATTTCAAGTAGTATTACTAACTCACAATAAAAAAGCATTGTTAAGCAATACAAAAATGCAAAGAGTTATGACTATAAATATATGGTAGTATGAACCACTGGGGCTAAATTTTCAGAGACCCAATCAGGCATCTTTTTTATGTGCATGTGATTTTATGCTCACAAACTAATGGTACCCATATTAGGATCTGTGTGCGTGCAATTGGTCACGTTTCTTCAGCCTTAGCAGCAAATGGCCAAAGATCTCAGTTTATGAAAAATTAGCTGTCAACAAACTTATGTGGGGAGACAGTGTTTGGGCAAAGAGGATACACATGCTGTTAGAAAGTCAAGGTTCTGAGGAAAACCGAGCCCTTCAAAGCATTATTAAATAACATATCATTGGCAGAAACACATGTGTGTCCCCAACATGCCACCCTCTTACGGAAAAAAAAAAAAATCTATTTAAAAAAAGTCTCTGAATACATGAACCCACTGAGCAAATTCAGCTTTTAAAAATAAAGATACATGTATTATGACAGCCTGCTTGTGTCTTCTCTGCACGTGCTACCAGAGAGATTGCTGGGGGCCACATTGCATTTTCAGCTGATGATTTTGTGCTGCTCTAACCTAACATGACATTGTACAGGAGACAGGGATCGTGACATTGACAGGAGGCAGGGGTCAGGACCATCCCCTGGAAAAGAAATGCAAAAAGGCAAAATGGCTGTCTGAGGAGGCCTTACAAATAGCTGTGAAAAGAAGAGAAGCGAAAAGCAAAGGAGAAAAGGAAAGATGTTCCCATTTGAATGCAGAGTTCCAAAGAATAGCCAGGAGAGAT